AGAGCGCCCTCAAGACGACGGAAAGGATGACCAAGACGAGGAGCACGGCAGACCAAGACGAGGAGCACGGCAGACTATGCCCTAAGAGTGCCCTCAAGACGGCCGAACAATCATCAAACAAACAATGAGTCTAACGTCGTCTTGGAATCGTTTTTGAGGGCATCAGTACGGCCCCCCAAAAACAAAATCGGCCCAAAGATGACCCGCAGAGTGCCCTCAATACGGCCGACCATGACGATTTCGCTGGGGACGTGTTCAATAAATTAAGAGTGTATCAGCACCGTCTGCTGCAACAACGCTGTGCTGGTCTGCCGTTCTCCTGTGGTCAGCTGTGCTGCTCTGCCGTGCTCCTGCGGTCTGCCGTTCTGGTCTGCCGTTCTGGTCTGCCGTGCTCCTGTGGTCTGCCTTCCTGGTCTGCCGTGCTGCTGCCGTCTGTCGTGTTGCTGCGCTGTGCCGTGTAAGCTGATAAACCGGTCAGACCGATGAAGAAAACGAGAGTCGGGTTACAACGGCTACGCAGATTTAAACTGCTAGTCCAAAGGCTCTCCAGAGGACCCCAACATCTCCCAAGCACACCCCGAGAAGTCATCATCATCATCATCATCATCATCATCATCATCATCATCATCATCATCATCATCACCATCATCATCACCATACTCATACTCATACTCATCATCATCATCCTCCTCCTCCTCATCATCATCATTATCATCATCGTACGCATCACCATCACCATCAGCAGCAACATGATCATCACCAACAACAGCAGCGTCAATGACATGATCTGGTCTGCTATGTTCCTATGGGCTGCCGTGCTGGTCTGCCGTGCTGGTCTGCCGTGCCGGACTGCCGTGCTCGTCTGCCGTGTCGGTGTGTTGTGCTGGTCTGCCGTGCGGGTCTGCTGTTCTGGTCTGCCGTGCTGAAGCTGAAGCTTTGGGGGCTTAAAGCCAGAGAAAGAGAGAGACATAGAGAGATAGAGAGGGAGAGAGATTCTCTAACTAAGGGGTACGGGCTCCATCCCGAAACTCGTTGGCGGTTCTCTAACTAAGGGGTACGGGCTCCATCCCGAAACTCGTTGGCGGATGACGGGAAGCGTCTTCGAGGTACGACAAGCAAGCGGGACGTTCTGGCTGAATCCTTGAGTAAATATATCTTTTCTTTAACTATATGGGTTGCCGCGCTGCACGGGATTTTTCGTTAACGGATTCCCCAAAATGGTCTGGCGTGCTCCTGTATGGTCTGCCGTGCTCTTGTGTGGTTTGCCGTGCTCCTGTGTGGTCTGCCGTGCTCCCGTGGGGTCTGCCGTGTCCTGTGTGGTCTGCCGTGCTCCTGTGTGGTCTGCCGTGTTCCGGAAAATTGGCCGTTTCGCTCGGGACGTCCTCAAAAAATCGGCTCCGGAGGGGACTCCGAAGCAGCATTATCTTGGAATCGCTCCCGGAGGGCCTCCAAACGGCCCAAGAAAGCCCCCGAAGGCCCCCCAGAGGACCCCCAGAGCGCCCCAAGAGACCCCCAAGAGGCCCCCAAGGGGCGGCCAGAGGCCCGCCAGAGCGCCCAAAACGCCCCAAGAGACCCCCAAGAAGCCCCCCAGGGGCTCCAAAGAGGCGGCCAGAAGTCCCCCAGAACGCGCGAAAAGGCTCCAGGAGTTCCCTGAGAGCTTCATATCGCCCCATAGAGCCCCCGAAGGCCCCCCCCGGGACTCCCCCAAGAGGCCCCCGAGAGGCCAGAGGCTACGACAGCCCCAAGAGCGTCCAAGATACCTCCAAGACGGCGCCGAAGCCAGGAAACGCAACAGGGATGTTCTCTGACGTTCTCGCCAATACGGTCTCTGACGCACGTGGTGGATAAAAAACTGCGCTTCCCGTTCTTGTCCGGTCAGGTTCCGGACAAATTGCCGTTTCGCTCGAGACATCCTCGAAAAATCGGCTCCGGAGGGGACTCCGAACCGGCATTATCTTGGAGTCGCTCCCGGAGGGCCTCAAAACTGCCCAAGAGAGCCCCCAAAGGCCCCCCAGGGGACCCCCAAAACGGCCCAAGACAACCCCAAGAGGCCCTCAAGAGGCGCCCAGAGGCCCCCCCGAGCGCGCGAAGAGGCCCCAGGACTGGCCAAGAGAGCCCCAAGACGGTCCAAGAGAACGCCAAGACAGCCCAAGAGAGCCCCCACAGACCCTCGAGAGACGCCTGAGTCCAAGAGGGTCACAGAAGCCTCCAAGAGGCTCCCAAAATGCTCCCCACGGGCCCCAATCAGGCCCCCAGAGCCCCACGACAGTCCAAGATAACGCCAAGACAGTCCAAGATAACGCCAAGACGTCGACGTCGTGTTCGAATCGCTCTCGGAGTGTTTTCCAACGGCCCAAGGGAGGACCAAAAGACGCCCCGGAGAGCCCCAGGAGCGCCCAAGAGCGCCCCAAGAAGACCCCCAGAGACCCCCAAGAACGCTCTAGGAGCCACCCACACAGCTCACAAGAACCCCAAGACGGCCCAAGAAGGGCCAAGAAGGCCCCAAGAGACTCCCGGGAGCGCCCCAGGAGGCCCCCAGCGCCGAGACGGCCTAAGAAAGCTCCCACAGAACCCCACGACGCGCCCAGACAGCCCAAGAAGACCCCAGAAGCCCATAAGAGGACCCAAGGGGCCCCCAAGAAGCCCCCAACAGGCCCCAAGAGAACCCCGCGCGGCGCCAGGAGCAACGTCTTTCTCCAATTGCCTCGTACTGTCCGTCGTCGTCGTCGTCGTCGTCGTCGTCGCCCTCCGCATTCGTCCTCGTACTCGCCCTCGTTCTCTTCGTCATCGTCCTTGTGCTTCTCTTCCTCCTCGTTGTCCTCATGCTCCGCCGCGCTATCCTCACGTTCGCCACGTCGTCCTCGTCATCGACTCCTCGTTGTCCTCGCCTTCCTTTTCTTCTTCGCCTAATACGCCCAATAGACTAAAGCGGCGCTTCCCGTTCTTGTCCGATTAGGTCGCACGGGGTCGTTCGGTGGCGGATTTGTTCAGCGTCTCGCTTGAGCAATCTTCACAATATTGACACGTTCGCAGCATCGCCTTTCACAAAATCAGCGTTTCGATTTGGACAGCCTCCAAAACATGAGGGCGAGGATTGCCGATGTGCATGAACAATGAGCGTTTCGCCTGAGACATCTTCGAGCAAGTCAGATGTTGACAGAGGTGGTTTAGTATTTCTACTGTTCAAAGCGGCGTTGTCCTCATAACATGAGCAGGACCACGGCAGACCAACACGACCAGCGCGGCAGACTAGGCCCCATTTCGTTGGTGGCATCTTGAAACAAACAATACGATCTCAACATCGTGTTGCTATAGTCCCCAAAGGACCCCAGGACGGCTCCAAGAGCGCCTTGCTGACTGCCGAATTTGGCGATTTCGCTGGGGACACCCTCCAAACCAATGACAAACACGATACCATCGTTTGAAACATGCTGGTCTAACATCGTCGTGGAAACGGTTTCGAACAACAAAGGCTTCAATACGGCCAACATCGGCCCCCTAAAATGACGATTGCGCTAAACCGTCCCCGAAACAGAGGTGTGTCCAGCATCTCATTGACGGCCCCAAGGAACCGATCACGAGCTTCAATATGACCCCAAGGGCGCCTTCACGACGACCGAAAACGACGAGCTCGCTAGGGACATCCTCGTCAAATCATGAATTCGCCAGTATATGTTTTACACGAACAGTCGTTTCGCTTCAGATATCATCCCAAAACGCGCATGCTTGAAGATCCGCCATGCGACGACGGTCCCAAATTTCTTGCTGTACCCTGCTGATGTGGTCTGCTCTGCTCCTGTGGTCTGCCGTGCTGGTCTGCCGTGCTGGTCTGCCGTGTTGGTCTGCCATGCTGCTGTGGTCTGCTATGCTCCTGTGGTTTGCCGGGCTGCTCTGCCGTGCTGGTTTGCCGTGCTGGTCTGCCGTGTGGCTGTCCTCTGCTATGCTCCCGTGGTTTGCCGCGCTGATACTGATACTGATACTGCTACTGATACTGATGGGGCGTAAAGCCTAGAGAAAGAGAATCAGAGAGAGAGAGAGGGAGAAAGGCGGGCCCCCGTGGGGTGCGCCCCAGGGAGGAGCCACAGCGGGCCCCACCCCCCAGGTCAGGCCGAGGGGCGGCGCCGACGGGGCGGACGCCCGCTCCCTCCCGAGCCCTCCGCCTCACGGAGGGTCGCCGAAAGGCATGGCGAACCCCCTCGCGAGAGTCGGGGGCACAAACTGCAGAGCGCAGAGAAACTACCGGAGGCCACTCCCGCAGCCCGGCTGGCGGGGGCACAAACTGCAGAGCACATGCGACTACAGGAGGCCACTCCCGGAGCCATCACGAGCCTCCCAGGCCCACATGGGGTCGCCGAGCGCATGACGAGCCCCTCGCGATTGGCGGTGGCACAAACTGCAGAGCACCATCGTGCAGGAGGCCACACCCGCGCAGCATACATGAATGTAGGGTGTGTGCCGCAGCACTCCCCAAGGCCTCCCGCAGGGCCCACTCGCACACCTTCCGTTTAGGGTTTGCGCCGCAGCTCTCCCCGAGGCCTTCCGCAGGGCCCACCCCAACGCTCGATCAAACAAAGAGTGCTCATCCGTCCGTGCGGAAGCGCACAGCCTTCTATGCCGAAGCGGGAAGTACAGGAAACACTTCATCCTCACGGCCACCAAGCGTGAGCGCAAACAGGCCTCGCTCAACAGTCCTGCCGCGTGCTGTACAGGCGGCAGCACGGCCCCACCGAATGGCCGCGTCCGCGGCGCCTTCGCATTCCTCGCCGCACGCAGAAGACGGAGACCCTTGGATTCTCACCAGCGCCGATGTGCCGCTCTCCGTTGGCACGTGGCCGACACTACGCGAATCGGCGAGGCAGACTGAAGGCCTCTCCTGCCAGTGTCGGGTTTGCGCCGCAGCACTCGCCGAACCCTTCCGCAGGGCCCACACCCGACGCTCGTTAAGGGTTTGCGCCACAGCACTCCCCAAGGCCTCCCGCAGGGCCCAACACAAACCTCCATCAATCTCCCCGCCTCGGCAATGGCGCCATCCAGCAGCCGCCTCTTGCCAGATATGCGATCCTGCTCGGGTCAGGCGCGTACCCCTCGCTGCGGATGACGGCGGCGGCCGAAAGTTCGTTGCCCTCGACGGCACCGCTGGTCGCTTCGTCCTCGGACACATCGCACGAGTCGCGGCTGCCCTCCGACTCGGAATCGTCGTCGGGCTCAACGCCAAACAGGTCGTACTCGTGGAGCGGCTGGCTGGTCCCATCCACGTCCTCCTCGCTCTCGCCCGAGTCGTGCTCGCCGAGCCAGGCGCTGACTACGAGCGCCCTCGCCCTTCCAGCAGCGCCCGACGCGTCATAAGCGCCGTCGGCCCCCTCTCCACCGCGGACGAGGGCCGAGGGATGAGCAAGAGGATGCTGCGTGACGGCCTCGCTGCGCTCCGAGGGAGCGGCCGCGGCGGAGCAAGCCGTGGCCGCGCCGGCCTCTCGGCCTGGCTGCGGCGGCGCTCCCGCGCCTGCAACGCTGCCCTCACTCCAGAGCGTCACTGGCAGCGGCATCGCGGCCTGGCGGCGGCAGCGTCACGCCGCTGGCAGCACCGCCCATACTCGCGAACACACCCCCTGCTGATGATGCGTAGACCACGGCTCCAAAGGTGCAGCGGAGGCTTTGCCAGCCCTGCTTCTCCTCGCGTTCCGCGGCCGCCGCGCCGAGCACCTCGACGCCCTGGGTGCCAAGCAGCACGTCGACGCACGCGGCGGGAGGGGCGCAGGGCCAGGCGCTGGACCTCAGCGGCGGCCACCGGTGGGGCCAGGCCACCGCGGGTTCGGCCTCGCGGATGGTGACGATGCAGTCGACCGCCGCCTGCTGCCGGGTCTCCAGGCGAGGCCCGCGCGCCGCGAGACGCCGCTCCTTCGGCGGAGCGTCGATCGCTGGGCAGCGCTCGGCATGCCAGGCGACGTCACGCATCCGCTTCAGCTCGCGAGGCTCGACGCGCCCACGGACGCACGCCAACAGGGAGGGCCTGGCGATGGCCTCTCGCCTGCTGGCCTCGTCGAGAGCGACGTCGCCGTGCGAGCTGCATTCCAGGTTCGCCTCGAGCAGCTCGCGGAGCCTGGCGGCCTCTCCCCGGGCCTCTTCCAGCGCGCGCACAAGTCGCTGCGCGAGGCGGTTCGCGGCGGCGCGTGCACCAGCGGCGCCTCGCAGGACCTCCCGCGCCATCCCGCCCAGGCGCCCGCGCGCCGCGCGCGTAAGAGCATGACCTAAGCCAAAGTGGCTACGGAGGTCTGCCGTTCTGGTCTGCCGTGCTGCTGTGGTCTGATCTGCTCCTGCGGTCTGCCGTGCTGGTCTTCTGCCGTGCTGGTCTGCCGCGCTGCTGCGGTCTGCTATGCTCCTGCCGTTTGACGTGCGGGTCGCCGTGCGGGTCCGCCGTGCTGCCAGGGTCTGCTCTGCTCTTTGACGCCATCTATGTAAATATTAAGTTCCTGCTGGTCTGCCGTGCCGGTGTGCCGTGCTGCCGTGGTTTGCTATGCTCCTGTTGTCTGCCGTGCTGTCCGCGAGTACACGGCGGGGTCCTTTAGTGGAGCACAAATTCCCGGCGGAGCAGCAACTGGCACGGTGGCACGTCAGGCACGTCAGGCACGGCGGCGGATGACGGGAAGCGCCTTTGGCGTGCACCGCTGGTCCAGGAGTATTAATTTGTCGAGGTAAGTGGTGCGGAATGCCTCGTGAAATCTCGCTGGCTGATGACGGGAAGCGCCTCTGGCGTGCACCGTTGGCTTTGGGGTTTCATCTTCTTGAACTAAAGGGCGCGAGTTCCATCCCAGACTCGCTGGCGGATGACGGGAAGCGCGCTTAGAAGGCCTTGGCTCGAGCGATTATTGGCGTTTCTCGTGTGTCGGCGGGGTCGCAAGCCCCCGCGCAGCATGCGTGTAGTCGATGGCGGGACATGTTTCGTTTCCCCTTCTCCTTTGCGCCATTTCTTGCCGAAGCTACCCACGCTGGAGGGCCGAACGTTCGGTGACGGCACGGTCACCGTGGAGCTCCCTGTTGTCGCTTGATACCGATGATGGGAGCGAGCCAGCGCACAGCAACAATTGCAATCACCGCGCCGGCCGTGCCATGCTCGCCAAAGGGCGAGCGTGGCCGTGGTTGATCTCAGTGAAGGCCAGGACGTTGTGTCTCTACTCGGCGACACAGCAGTTGCAACAGCCTCGGGAGACGCGTGGGTGCCCAATTGTGGGGGCGCGGCGGGGCCTCGACCGTCTCTCTCTATATTGCTGTAGCGCGGTTGTCTGGCTCGAAGAAGTTCTGGATGATCCCGACACCACAGGCCACCGTGCACGCTAAACGCCAGCCCGCGGACCGAAGTATTTGCCTTCTCGGCGCATCGGAGTTGAGAACACTTAGCAAGGTATGTCCAAGGCTGCACAACAAAGCGGACATCGCGCTCACTAGATGGCTCGTTTGGGACCCGACTGTAACCAAGTGGCTTGGCTTCCCGTGCGCCTACATTCGGTGGTTCCTGGTCGACTACTCCAACCAAGTCCGTGACCTTCGGACCAAGCAGACTGGGAAGTTGGTGCAGTGCTCCTCCTTTGCCCGTGAGAGCCAGCATTGACCACAGTGATTAGTCTCGGCCAAGTTTTGTGCTCTCGCCCTGGTCAGGTCTCAGCTGTTGCGCTCTGTAGTTTTGCGTTTTTCCAACGCTGGCGCGTCTCTTGCCTTTTCCCTGTCCTCTGGCCTGCTGCGCTGGTGACTTTGAGTTTGGCGCGGCCCGCAGTCCGCAGACAGGTGGTGGGCCTGTCTGTCTGCCGCCCTCGTTTCACCATCCTGGATCGTTGCCGACTTTGCAGTGCTGGTAAGGGCGGGTCCAGCATCGGGGTGCTATTCTTTTCTGCGCCGACCGCGTTGCGCCGTTTAGATTCTCCTCGCCTGCCACCAGTCCCTTGGCCAGAGGGCCAGGCACTGACGTGCGAGCCTCCCATCAGTGGGCGGCACGCTTCGCATGCGACGTCTGTAGATGCCCATGCGCGCGGGTCGACCACGCGCTTGGCCTTGTGATAGCTCGCTAGACCTCTTGATCTGGGGTAGCGGTTCCAACAACAAAGCGCGCTTAGACTCGAAGGGTCGCGCGATGGACGTCGTTTGCGGACCCAGAGGGGGGACCTGTATCTAGTGGGGGGTCCAGGGGGGGGGGGCGGCGGTGCTCCTCCTTGAGACGCACGTGACAACGAGTTTTGATTCGAAGAGTCGCGCGATGGACGTCGCTTACCGGCCCAGAAGGGGAACTCTTCATCAAGAGGGGGGGTCCAGGGGGGTAGTGGCGGCGGCGGCGCTGCTCCTTGAGACTCACGCGGCGGATTTGAATAGCAAGCGTTTCGCCCGAGGCATCCTCGCCACATCGCGATCTGTGGGGTGGTACTTACGTTAAAACGTATTAGGCTAACAGTGAGCGCGTCGCCCGAGACATCCTGGGGCAATGGGGGCGTTGAAGTCGTTGGTCTGACCCGCGGACTTCCGAACATGAGCGTTTCGCCTGAGAGATCCTCGAATACATGGGATGCGCTAAGGGCAAGTGCAAGGCATCGTTTCGGAGCGACCTCGGGTGATCTCTAAGATGGCCCCCAAAGGGAAACTTAATCAGAAACCTGTGTATTTCCATTACTTGCATGCCAGGGTCAGCGTTTAGCTCGAGAGATCCCCTAACACATGCATTCAAACGGGCCATCGAAACTATTTGGTATCCTCATCCTCCCATTTCTTCGTATCATCCTCCTTCTCCTTCGTCTCCTCCTCATCCTCCTCTTCCTCCTCCTCCAGTGATTCCTCCTCCTCGTCCTCTCCCCCCCTCTTTCTCCCCTTATGCCTCCTTCTCCTTCCTCCTCTTCTTCGGTCTCCTCCATCGCCTCGGCCTCCTCCTCCTCCTCCCCCCCATTTTTCTTGATACGTAGTTTATTCTTGTCGCACCCCAAGGCCAACTTTTAGAGCGGGCTGGGGGTTTCGCTTGAGATTCCCTTCGCGATGCAGGACTGGAACTAAAACGTTGGCAACAGCTTCGCAAATGGAGGGCGGGCCGTTTTCAAAAGGTGGCGTTCGCCTTAGCGCGGCGCACTTACGTTTAAAACGTTTGCAAGAGTGCACGGATTGAGGGCGGGTTGTTTTCAACATGTGGTTTTTGTCTGAGGTCGGCACACGCTCGTCTTAAACATTTGCAAGCGCCTCACGAATTCAGAACGGGTGGTTTTCAACATTTTGGCTCTCGCTCTAGCGCGGCGCGCAATCGTTTTACACAGTTGCAAGAGCTTCACGGGTCGAGGGTGGGTGGTTTTCAGAATGTGGTTCTGGTTTTGGCGTGGCGCACAACTACACGCGTTTCACGGATTGAGAGCGTTTTTGTTCAACATGTGGCTCTCGCCTTCGCGCGGCGCATATTCGCTTTAACAATGTGCAAGAGTTTCACGGATTGATGGCGGTTCCTTTTCAAAATGTGGCTCTCGCCGCAGCGCCGCGCGCACTCGCTAACAACATGTGCGCGAGTTTCACGGGTTCCCACCATCAACGTGCCACACATGGTTTTTTTTTTTTTTTTTTTTTTTAAAAAAAAAAAATTACAGAGTTCGGGACGATGCTTCCGCAAGAGTTACCCCCATCCGTTGTATTGAAGTCCCGGGAATGGCGTTCTGGTACGATTCAGGATTGCCAAGACGCAACTGTCAGGTTTCTTCGTGGCCTTGGAATCCCGAAACTAATGTTTTGGCATGCTTCAGGGTCTTCAAGTCTTCCCATGAGGCGGTCCCCTCAATTGTAATGGTACGTTGTACGGGCCGCCTACGATGGAGCTTGGAGGGAGGGTTTATTCAAACATCGTTAATGGCCCGTGGGGGGTTTACACTGGTCCTTCTCCTCTTCCTCCTCCTCCACTCCCTCCTCCTTCTCCTTCTCCTCCGCCTCCTCTTCCTGTTTTTTCTGTTCTTCCTTCTCCACAATCACTCAATATGAAAATACTTTCCCTCTTCCCCTGATGGCGTCCGGGTGATGGCCGCGCACCCTCCGCGTACTGTTTTTTACACACAGGATGCCCGGGAAATCCCGGGAAACGACTCTCGCTGAGGCGCCGGCGTCATTTTTTCCCAAAGTGCTGCTCTCGTTGAGGCGCCGGCCTCATTTTTGCTCCCGAATCGTTCCGAATCGTGCTCCCGCTGCAGCGTGGGCCTCATTTTCGGATCGGTGTTTGGCCTCCGTCGTTCAGGATGGCGTTCTCGCCCCAGCGCGGGCCTTTTTCTCGCGCGCCCATCCGCCCGCCACCACCGCGCCGCACCGCCACCACCACCACCACCACCACCACCACCACCACCACCACCACCACCACCACAACCACCACCAGCACCAGCACCAGTACCAACACCACCACCACCAGCACCACCACCACCACCAGCACCACTACCACCACCATCACCACCACCACCACCACCACCACCACCACCACCACCACCACCACCACCACCACCACCAACACCACCACCACGACAACCACGCACACACGCACGCACGCACGCACGTGCACCACCACCCACTACGCACGCGCGCACGGAGCCACAGGTCCGCTACGACACGCGTCCGCGGATAGAGAAAATCCGCGCCATGGTAAGGGATGGGAGGGAGGGGTAGGACGTCAGATATGACGCGAGCGCACCTAGCTTGTCCCCATCCCCTCCCTCCTCCTCCTCCTCTTCCTCCTCCCCCTCCTGTTTTTTCCACCCTTCTCCTTTCTCCTCCTCCTCGTCGGCTCCCTTTTCCTCGTCCTCCTGCTCATGCTCCCCTGTTCCTCGTCCTCTCCCCCCTCCCCTCCTCACCCTCTTCTCCGTCTTCTGCGTCTGCTGCTGCTGCTCCTCCTCCTGCTTTTCCCCCGCCTCCCACCCTCGTCCCTCCGTAGCCATTTTGGCTGGAGACGGAGCTTACCTCCCGTCCCGACCCCCGAGGCTCGAGGCCGAGGTGGAAGGGCAGCCCCTTCCAGAGGCCTGGCTGCCTCGGCCAGCTTTCAGGCGGTCTGTGAGCTCTTGTTGGAGCGAGCAAGCCGTTTTGGCATACGTGTGAGAAGAGAGGTCATCGGATGGCCCCAGCCCTCGATGACAAGGACTGGGATGTCTTGCTGGGCCCGAGGAAGCCAGAGTGGGCGTGTGGCTCGTGCACCCGCCTGCATAACTGGGCGTCCAGGATCA